GTTCCCGGCCCCCCCCCCCCCCCCCCCCCCCCCCCCCCCCCCCCCCCCCCCCCCCCCCCCCCCCCCCCCCCCCCCCCCCCCCCCCACGCATAGGGGAGTTAATGTAGTTAATGTACACTGCGATGCCCCCTTTTTGTATTTGGATATTTTACCCCAGATGCCATGATGTATGTATTCGACATACCGTTTCGTTAAATTTAGGCGTTACATGTAATACACTATCTAATCTATCTTGATAATCCATCTTGATGTCTATTAAGGCAGGCAATCAAATCTGTGTCCTTTGTCCTTTGAGAAAGCTTTACCCCTTTTTATCGAGTATTTTTTGTTGAATGCTTGGTGTAATTTACTATAGAGAACGCCAGCTATAATTCACTGAGGCATAAGACTATATCCATAGTATGTATCACTCTCATCATATCTCATATAGACAAACCACCAACTGGGTAGGAGATAGGAGATAGTCCACTCCACTCCAATCTCACCACACGGCTCCCTCCCCATCCCCCGACAACACCCTCAACCCATCCTCGATCTCACCAAAGACCCCAACCCCCTTCCTCCCAAGCGCAGTCCCTACACCAACAGCCGCCGCCCCTACATCTCTCATCCGCCTATACCCCGCCGCATCCTCGACACCGCCGACCCCTATTATCTGCACATGCGACGTCTCCGGAACCGCATCAAGCATCCGCCGGAGCGTCGCCACGTTACCCAGTGCTAGGGGGTGTACTAGACACGGCCAAGAATTAGTATCATCATAGCCATATGTTTCCTCAGTTGTCCCAACCAAGAAACTTGACACAGAGCAGAGGAAATAAATACCCTTCTTATAGAAGAGAAAAGGGAAGAAAAAAAAAAAAAAAAAGACATCTTACACGGCGCCCCCGCCATCCCCCCTATCCCCCCCGTCTCGCCCCCCAACGCAGGCCCATCCCCCCCACCACCAAGCAGCAGACACGACCCCAGCGTATTCGTCGCCGTGACAAAGCTCGCCGGACAATTCCCCCCCGACCCAAGCGCCTCCCCGCCGCCCCCCCGCAGCGCACCCGCCAGCATGTCGAACTGTCCGGCGTGCGTGTACGGCGGGACCTTGACGCCCCACGGCACGCCTCCCCCTCCTTCTACTTCTACTTCTACTTCTACTTGCGCTGCTGCTGCTGCTGCTGCTGCACGCGCCACGGCATCCAAATACGGCCGCAGCCCCTCCGCCGCGTACGCCGCCGGCGGCGCGCCCGGGATGTTCGGACAGCTGAGGTTGACCTCCACGGCAAGCGGCGCGCCTGTTCTCAGCCCCAGCATCGCGACGCGCCTGTAGCACTCGGCGACGTCGTCGGGCGTGCCGGTGACCGAGACGATGAACAGCTTGCCCTTTCCCTTCCCCATCCCCTTTCCGGTCTCTTTTTCCCTGTCCCCCGCTACTATCGCCTCGATAAACCCCAAATACCCATCCAGCGGCACGGGGCTGTACCCCATGTTATTCAAGCTCGCGTTCGCATCTACGCCTACGCCTACGCCTACACCTACACTCACACCCGCCGCCGATTCGCCAGCGACAGACGTAACGGCGCCGACGGCATGTGTCCCCGCATCGAAAAACGCATACCGATGCCGAGCCGGATCGTGCGCGAACCCGCGCAGCAGCGCCGTCCGCGTCGTCACGGCGCCGGTGGACGGACAATCGAATAAAGCCTGGAGGTCCTCTTGCGTCGTCGCCCACGGGTTCGCCGAGTTGAGTAGGGGTGGGCTGATGTGGATAGGGGGTGGTAACCAAGTCTTTGTCATTTTGGATTCGGCTCTGTATACCTAGGTAGGTAGGTAGGTACCTAGGTAGGTAGGGTAGCTGGTTGGCTGGTGTTTAGTTTAGACTACGTAGTATTTATTCACAGTGTGCTGGGTATATATAGGTACCTAGGTAGGCATGTAGGTTAAGTGTTTATATTTAGAATTACATGTAAAAGAGAGTTGTTAAAGTTCGAGATCAGGATTAGAATCTATGGATAGATAATACATGTAATAATGATAGTTAATAATAGATAGATACCTGTTAACAATAGCGGGGTCACAGTTCATAATAGATAAGAATAAGTTGACAGTTATCGTATCTCTCCCATCTCTCCCCCTTTCCCTCTCATCACCTGCATTAAGATGGAAATATTTAAGCCAATATAAGTGCTCAACGCGTCGTTCAAGCAATCACTACCATGTTCAAATACGCCTTGCTACTTATTACGATATAGCTTCAAGAGTTCTATTGAGTATAGTAGAGAATTCAGTCGCTCCGACTTCTCCCATATCCCATGCCTACCGGTCATAGCCGATATCGCCTCCATCTTTACCTATAGTAAGATATCGAGGTCGTTCTAATACAGAACGCAGTAACAATATAAGAAAACAATCCTGCATATGAATAACCCATTGCTGCCAAACCTAGCTATAGAATAGTCAAAAAGCATGCAGCTTCATCGAAATCGACAGCAGACTGTTAGCCGCCGCGACGGCCACCAGTGCTCATCAACGTGATCTTCTGTTTCTTCTTCTTCTTGCCGGCCGAACCTCCATTAGGTCCGCTGCTCGGTCCGGCATGCGTAGGTTCGACGCTTAGAGCTTCCATCTGCATTGATATTTCAGCAGCATCAAGGAATTCGTCGTCTTTTAGCCAACCGTCGTTAATGTCGCGCTCTGGCACGGGTTCTAATTGGGGCGAAGCGGGAATCGCTCGGGTTCCCCATACTGTCTTCGATGTTGACGGACTCGTCGACAAGTCTGCGAGCTGGCTGAACCCCGGCCGGGGATTTGGCGGTGACGTACCTTCGACGGCGCCGAGCGGCTGGAAGTCTTCCGAGTCCATAGCAGGAGTCGGCTCGAACTTGTCCTGGTTGGCTTGATCAAAGTGTCGCCTAGCGCTACGTCCGATAGCAGAGGCTTCTAAGCGTTCTGCCTGTAATCTTTCGCGCTCCTCCTGAGCCGCCTTGTCTCGATGTGACTTACGTCGACGCTCTAGGTCGTCCGAAAACGTCTCTAGAACGTCCGCAGGAACTATGTCCGTCCAATCACACTCCAGGAAACTTACAACGCAGCCGTGAGGAAGATGTCCCAGGTACTTGGCCCGCTTCCTCAGAGTGTCATCCACCACGTGGCCGGTAGTGATATGGTCGACACGCGGGAGCAGTGTCGAGGGGAAGTTTGAGAAATCCCCAAATTTGGTTTTAAGAATTCGAATATCGAGAGGTGACAAATATAAGTGTGGAGGCGCTGTGTAGAAATAAAACTTCTGACTGGCTGGTTGCTTTGCTTTCGAGGTATTGCCTGGCTGTAATAACTCTTCACTTGGCTCGTCGCGAATCTTGTCCACGGCTGTGTTAATGGCTTTAACAGCTCGTTGCGTCCAACCTCCGTCTTCTTGACCGAATTGTATCTCGTCCGCTAGTGCCTGGTCCCGTAAATCAGTCATCTCCCTTTCATACTGCCCTACTACGTAGTCCTTCGTCCCTTTCATCACTCTGGCGTAATCCATAACGTTTGCCGCAAAATGCCACGGGATATCCTCCCCCAGATTAACAACGTCCTGGCCCCCTTCGTTTGGCAGGGCTAAAGTGGAACCCGAGTCTCGTACCATCAATCTCAGCACGACATCTTCCCCTGGTCTCGGCATAGGGTTTTCCTGGCCGGCATAGAAACGCACCGGCTTGATTTCGGAAAGCCGGAACGAGTCCTCGCATATAGGACATTTCTTCCACCTCGCTTCTTTCCGGGGGCTCGGTTCGTCGTCGTTGGTTGAATTCATGAATCGCAATAGGCACGGCAGGCAGAATATGTGGCCGCAGTGCGCCATGCGAGGGGCTACGGGGTCTGATAGGCAGATTGGACATGCTGTGGTTTGGGATTCGGCGGAAGCTATGATTTGTAGTACGTCGGACCACTCGAGATACTTGTCGGCATCCGCGGCCTGGGAAGAGTAGTCTCCAGAGGGTGAAACTACAAACCGATAGTTGGCATGAACAAACCTGAAGACATTTGTAAGCATCATAACTCAAACCCACCGATGACTCGCGGGGTGGAATCAACGCACCTCGCCTTATCAACGGCATGGTAGCCGGAACCGGGGCCCCAGGTAGCATGTCTACGGCTCGATCTAGGATATTCGTGATGATTACGCGTTGGGGCGGAGTAGTTTAGGAGATGGGTGATGGAAGTTTGGCCTCGACGGCTCGAAGTGTTTCTGACGGCCCTCTATCTCGATAGGTTAGTTATACATAGTACTATCTATTGTATGTATTGTATATATTGTATATTAGGTATACAATTAGGTCGCGATATCTACTTACGAGCTCTGCCATGGCATCATCCTCATTCAGCGGCCTTCGCTGATTCCGGTGCTGCTTCCTCGACCCTTGTCCCTTCCTCGGAGCTGAATTCGGGAACGACGGGCTCGACAGGCCGGAACGACGAGAATTGGTTTCGAAGCTGGGCGCGGGAACTGAGATGGGTTGGGAGTTGGGAGTATAGGTAGTCGGAGAAGAAAGGGATTTGCCTCCCAGGTTTGACGGGCCAGAGCTCATGGTGTTGATGGCTGTTGAGGCCGAGCTCGTCCTATCGAGGATGACAAACACGGCGCAAAGAGTTGAAGATGAACGTCTACCGACGTCATGCAAAGACTACTACTGCTAATTCCGCTGGAATAACAAAAGAAAAAGGAAATAAATTATCAATAAATTTAAAATAGAGAGCTTTGTTTAGTGACGAGAATCTTTAGATTCCCTCATCAATGATAAGATTTGTCTCGATTGGTAGTTGGTCGGCAATTCGCAATTCGAGGGGTCCAGACTGGACGGACCCCGGAGGTTTGAGAAGGAAAGAGTAGAAGGAGTCACCGGCGGGGCGAAATCCTTGGTGACGATTCGATGTTACTTCAACGTGGGACGACGCTGCCGAAACCCGCCACCTGCTAAGCCTGTGCCTGTGCCTGTGCAATTAGCGCTACTTTACGGAATATACCTATTTTATACATTATACGTATTATATAATTCTTGTATCTTTCCAAGTTGCGCATATAAAGATTGTTATATTTGTTATTAAAACAACCATTAAACGATTGCTTTCTGTAAACTCCTTAACTATAGTACTAAATCTCACGGTTAGTAAGTAACGTGTGCCAAAATACCTACGTACCTACCTAAGTTCAACACATTTTGGAGATCTTGATTATGTTACCAACATTATGCCAGATATACAACCAATCTCCAACTTACAATCTACACATGTATATCACCACGTATTTGTCTTAACACTCGAGATTAAATGCCTCTTCAAAAAGGTACATAATTGCCTATAACTACCTACTTAACCAATCCATCCATAGCGGGATTTAAAGGCGACAATACCTAGGACACAATTCCAGTCCGAAGCAGAATAGTAGAGCAAGCCCTCCTTTCCCGAAATCACAACCCAAATGTGCGCGAAGAAAAAGTTTTAGCCGGCTCCGTAAGATACTTGTCTATTATGCCGCCTTTTATACGTATCCCCAACTACCTCCAGTCTGCATCCAGCGTGTGTCCTATCTGATTATCCAACCATATAATCCAGTCTCCTTCCAGACTGGACGTCAATGCCTTAACTGCCACCAATCAGACTTCCATTACTGCACTTCGCGACCCTAGATTTTTATCAACCCCTCAACAGCCTAAACTTGACTTGATCGTGTTGGAAAGCAAAACTGCATCAATCGTGAAGCAACGCAGGACGAGAAAGACAAGACGGAACGCCGTCAAGTTCGACATGGCTCATCGGAACGTGATAGGAGCTACCAGCAAGAAAAATTGAGTTGAAAAAAGGGAGGCCAACCACCCCGCACCATCCTAAACAGCACGAAGCCCTTTCGTAAACCGGGAGAGTAACGTATTATCTACCTAGGTAAACGGTTGAGGAATGCTGAGTGGACGAGTTTTATGTACAAGGAAGCGCCTGACAGTAACTGTTGCCCTATCGGCACCTGTCGTAACGACTCGACGCAAGATGGGGAATCATAAGCTTCAAACGAAATGAAGAGGTTGACAATAGTGCCGAAATAATAATCAAAGCAAAGAACAACCCATTAGCCTTTATTTGCTAGACAGCTTGCTTTTAACCTTGCCGAAGATGGAGCTAAGCCTGTTCTTCTTTTTCTTCTCGGTTGCAGCGCCGTTAGTTGGCTTGGTGTCGCTGGTCGGGCTGGTCGCCTCGGTCGACTGAGCCGTAGTTTCGGGGACAGCTAGGGTAGCCGGGGCGGTTGGTTTGGTGGTCTCGGTGTCGGTTGGCACTCGCTTGATTTCAACAGGCTTTACAGTTTCCTGGTGGCCGTTGGCTCCGTTGGCAATAGTTGGTTCCGAAGCTGGTGGTATTCTAATCTCGGAAGAGTTGCCGGCAGCTTCTGTCGACTCTGTTGGCTTGACCGACTCTTCCTTGTCAGCCTCGATGGTTTTGACCTCCTTTAACAACTCAGCTTCAACGGCCTTTTTGTCCTCGACTGCTTCCGTGCTTGCGGCGGCTTCCGGGGCTTTCCCAGCTTCGATAATGGATTCCTTGACCTCAGAAGGCACCTCAGGGGAGACTTCCTCGCGGGTCTCCTCCGTCTTCGTGGTTCCAATGGCATTCTGAACAGACTCTGGAAGTTGTTCCTTGACCGAGTCGGGCAGATTCGCGGCTGCTTCGATGGCAGAGGCTTGGGCTGCTGTAGCGGCGTCTGTAGCCTTCTCGACAGCGATGTCCTTGGCAGCAACCGCACCAGCGACTGCAGCGGCGCCAACAGCAGTAGCCGCAGCCAAAACAGATGCAGCGGCCTCGCCAGGAGTGACGACGTCCTCCGTCTTCTCGGTGCCTTTGCCGGCAGTACCTTCGGACGTAGTAGGGGCTTCCTTCACCTTGTCTAGAAGCTCGCTCTCGACCTCAGCTTTCTCCCTGACCTCCTCTGCGATGCCGCTAGCTTCGGGATCAACGTGTGCTTTCTCCTGGCTCTCTCTTACTACCTCAGGAACCTTTGGCTCGAGAGGTACGCTCCCCGCCAAAACAGCAGTTGTAGACAACGGTGCGGCAGAGTTCAGGGTAAGGGGCAGGCCACCTTCGAGGAAAATTAGACACTGGATTCAAATTGGGACTGAACCAATAACGAGGCTTACCTGGAATGGTGTCGCTCTTCTCGTACGACTCGGGATCTAGCTTAACTTGATCGGTAGTACCATTGGCAGCAAGACCCTGGGGGATCTTCTCGCCCGGAGCAAGCTTAATAGGGTTAACGGCGCCTGCAGTAGCCGGAAAGGGGTTTACTCCAAAATCGCCGGCCCCATTGAGTTCTGCAGCGGGGGTCTCGGGGAAAGTGCCTGGCAACCCCTCGTCCTTCTTCTCCAGTGGCACATCTGCGGCCAAAGCAGCGGTTGTAGAGTCCGGCGTAACAGTGCTCATGATGGCGGCGGTTGCGGGCGCTTCTTTGATAATACGATCAGGGGTTAGAATGTTGTTCTCGTTACCGCTCTCGTCAATTTCTTTCGGTGCAGTGTGGTCGGTGACCCAATTACCGTCGACGACAAACTGCAATGCAAGATAAATAGTTAGCTTAAAATCGGGATGTATAGGCAAACCCGGAGGTTTAAGTGATGTCTCGTGGTATATTTCAGGAGCGCAATACTAGCGAGGAAAAAAAGAGAAGATGGAAGAAAATAAAGAACAAAGAGAATTTGCGCATCAGGTTGGGGACAGCTCAACAATGACAATTCTACTTAATGCAAGGTGCCGCAGGACCCGAAGTACAGGCAGCTGTAAACAACCTTAGTCTGCCTTAGGTATATAGATAAGAGTCCTACGGCATCTGCGTCAGGCGTCAGACGTCAGGGACAAGGCTCCCTTCTCAGGGAAACAACCAGATAGGGCACCTTCTGTCAAGGATGACGCTGTTGGGGTTCCACAATGCAAGTCGCCTAAGCCTGCCGTGCGCTTGCAAGTTTTCTAAGCACCTGGGCACTTGATAAGTGACGTCTGAATTTTCAGACTAGGGTCAAATAAGTGTCACAAGACCTTCGAAATTTAACAATGGGCAACGGCGGCCGTAACGAAGCCTTGTAAATGCTTGTTTTGTATCCATCAACTGCCCATGGAAGTATAGCGGCAGAATTGCAGCAGCGCTATAGCCAGATTGAGCCAGATTGGTGGTTGGAATATATCACCCCAAATACAATTGACCTATCAGAGTCGAGCCCGCCTTATTTTGTCGCATTCGTAGTCGCCTTGCGTCATACGTGGTTCACGGAGTAAATGTTTTGCATCGGCGGCACACGCACGAGGGCGGGGAGGGATCCAGCGGATTCAAACTCCAATATCCAATAGCCAGTACATAACAATGCATCGAACCAGCATGAGCCAGCATGAACGGAGCTAGCCAGCCAGACTAATCAAATGCGCTCCGGGAGGGATTGAATAGTTGCATCTTTAGCCCATAGAATGCGCATTAGATATTTGGCATTATATTATCCCATGCCGCAAGCATTAATCGTTGCGCAAAGCCGACCACTCATCTTGCGACCTAGCGAACAACCTTGTGCTCTTCCGACCGACGCGGGAATAGGTAACACCCAAGTAGGCATATAAATGAAGCGAAAGAAGCATGGGTAGATGATCATGGGTAGATTAAACAATTGAAAATAACTAGAGTTAGATGGGATGAGATGCGATACGATGCGACGAACCTTATAAAATATCTTAGCTGATGCATCTTTAAGTGTCACCGCCTTCTCGAAGTGCCCGCCGACTTTTTCAAGCTTCTCTGTCTTCTGCCAATCGTCGAATGTGCCGGTCACGTAGACCTCGGAGGCAGGATGCTCCCTATCGGATCAGAAAGAAACGATATCAGCCAAGTTCTATACATCAGTGTTTCATGGGGATGCGATTGTTGGGATGTTGGGAAAAGCTGAGAGAAACAAAACGGTGAAGAACTCGGGTGGCCAACATGGTCGCCAGCAGTTCGTGGTGGATATACAGACGTGGGTCGAGGAGAAGGAGAGGTGTCTCGTCGTCGCTTGCGCCTACTTACCATTTGAACAGAAAGGTTCCCATTGTCGATAACCTGCGAATAAACCTATAGGAATAAGCGATACGGGGGGGGTGTCGATGGAAGCAGTTCAATAAATAATTAGGAGGAAGGTTGAAGAGGTAAGAGGCAAATCTATCTTAAGGCTGCTCTGAAGATGATGGAAGAGAAAAAGGCGTGGAACGAGAACTTCTGACTCTCAAGCTTTAGCACCGACACCGACCCGCAGCAAATGTAAGTAATTATAATTAATTAGTCGTCTAGCCTAATAAAGTCTGATAAAGGTCCGATCTATCGATTTGCTAGGGATTTTGCTAAGGATGGCCAGGTCCTAGTACCCGTATATAGCAACCATAAGCTGCCATAATGAGACTAGCTCCACCTTTTTTAAACTTACCAATATCAACTTTGCCCACCACCGCTGCCCACCACCGCAGGCATTGATAGCGTCAAGTACTGGATACATGCATATTGCGTTATCATCGCATCAATATCGAGACGTTCCTACCAATGAATTTCGATGGCAATATCTTGAAGGAATCATAATTTCAATTACACCTTATCTTACATACACCTCAACTTCTCCTATTCCACGTGCCTTTTTACAACAATAAAAATATAATCCGTACCTACCTACCTTACATATGTAAAAAGTCCCAAGACTCGAATTGCCACTCAAGCCTCTTGCCGTATCCGGAATTAGATACCTGCCAGCGCCCGTGGAATCATCTACGCATTTCGATGCGTTTGCACATTGACATTTAACATTAGTGTACCTAATGTATTCATTCACCCGTCCGATCACATGCAAGCGATGGTTTTACCCAGCCCCTCGAATAACATCAGTGCTTATGTCCGAGTAAACGGAGCCAAGACTTGCAATCTAGATACACGAACAAACCAATGCAATACATAGTATGCACACCTATCATTATAATTAATTATGAACGACTTTACATATCAAGTTCGTATGTATGTAATTTCTCAGTACATTTCATAACAGATTTAAAAATAGAATTTATGACATTTTGTATTCTGTTGTCATATCCACCGCAAAACCCACCGCAAAACCCACTACGCACATTCCACATCTATCTAGGAATACATTCGTTACCAATCGTAATTCGTCCTCGAGCGGTACGGCATGTAAGCAATTCTTGCAAAAAATAGCATCCAACCCCGTAGGTAAATCGAAAACGGTTCAATCCAACCTCCTCCGCTAACGCCTCCGAGGTGCAGTGCAGCGCAAGTAGAAGACAAAGAAACCCATGCAATATGTTCCTCGACTCCCAACCGCGCCCCGGTGTTTTTTATCTTCCCTTGCAATGCGTGTTGTTTCTAATAGTACAAGTGTATCTCTGTAGTAGCTTTCCCCCGATGTTCTATAATGTACACAAAATAAAACAAGGCACGCATAATTCAAGAGAGAACGTCAGAGCAAAATAGCAACAAAAAGACGGGAAGACAGACAGGACAGGTAGGGAAGAGAAGGAGAAAAAATATAGAAATTTTGAAATAAAAAAATAGTCCGACTAGAGAATCGAATAAGGGAAGAAGAAGAAGAAGAAGAAAATAGAAGAGAATATATAGAAATACAAGAGAAAAGGAAAAAAGACAGGAAGAAATAGAAGAAAGGGGGAATAAGAAATAATATAGCCACCATTCATTCCCATCCATTTTATATCCCCAGGTCCCTCTGTCTCCCGTGTATAGTGTATTCCCTTTTTTTTGGTATCGTTTGCTGGTATTTCCCTTCGACCCAATCCGATCCGGTCCGGTCCTCAGAACCACTTAGACCCAGCGCGTTCCTCGATCTTCTTCAACGTGCCCACGGCATCAACCAGCAAGCGGCTCTTAGCGCCAACAGCTTCGTCCTCAAGCCTACGTCGAACCATACTAATAACACCCATTGACTCGCGCCGGTTGCGCGCCCCGAGCGCCGAGTCCCCAGCGGCCACCATCTTCAACCAACGCATGGCCTCGCGCTCTCCGGCATTAGCATTATCATGGTCGTGGTGAGGAGACGTGCAGTCCGATCCGGAACCAGAGTAGGCATTCCGACCTATCGAGCGGTGTCCGAGCGCCCAGCAGATTAGTGCGCACGCATATACTGCCCAGTAGTCTGAGATGTCTAGCATGTTCCAGTTGTTGTTTAAGTCTCCTTGTTCTTCCGGGTCTGTGTTTAGTGTATTATGATTACGAGACTCGCTACCGTCGAGGAAGGCTAGCAGAGCCTTGGCGGCAAATCCGACGGCGGCGCTGGCGTGAGGGCTACCGCACCAGAGTTGCAGGCGCTTCTTGTGCTGTTGAAAGACCTGGGGAGACGCTACCTTTCTCGAGAAGAGCCAGGTGTCGCCGCTAACTGCGAGCAGATCATGCAGAGGCGTATAGTGCAACGCTAGATAAGTATTTCCAACAGCAGATCCAGGGAAAAGTCTGCTGATTCGCTCGGTGGAAGTTAGGTCTACTTCTACCGAAAGGTCTAGCATAGAGGGGTTAGATCGTTTAGGCAGGCAAAGAGCCTCTGAGGTTAAAAATACGGCACGGTCGAGATATCGAGCGTTCAGAACCTGTTCCGCGGTGGGGGTCTCGCCGGTATGACTTAGAGGTCCCATGTCGGCTGGTCTCGTATCGAGGAGGGCCTCCCATACTTCCGGCGATTGCGCGGCCCAGAGATCTTCGGTAGGTCGAATTAGGGGTATAGGGCGTGTCGACATAGGAAATTGTTGTATTACATGTTGTTGATAGTACACGGATGCGTGAGCATCCAAAACAAAGCAAACGGCAAAGAGTCGTCGTCGTGACTCATTATCGATCCATTCATTCCATCGTTCGTTTCGCGTTGAGGTAGAGAAAAGGAAATTGTCCGGTATTTGGTGGTTGGCCATCTGTGAGGAAGAAAATGTTGAGTATGGATACCAGGGGCCATTAGGAGAAGACAGAACAAAGCTAAAGAGATGACCCTGAGGAGCAGAGTGTATGAGAGAACCAACAAAAGTAGAAGGAGAAGAAGATTGGGAACTCACCCGAGAGTAAAGCGACTGGAAGGACTCCGAAGGGTATCGAAGGACACTCCGTCCACGGAACCGCGCGTAAAACTCGCAAAGAATGATCGTCTGCATGATTTGGAGGTTCCACTTCGTACACTGCATCTGCTGGTTTAGCGGTTACTTTCTCAAAGAAAACAAGATATCTAAGCGGCTCAACTTACAGTTTTGACCTCCTTCCAGGCAAATTCATGCAACTCGTTTGCTCTTATACGATCATCCTTACCTTGGAGATACTGCGCGCCCACGGCAGCCATGGCACAACGCAGGACCTCATCGGCAGCTGTTTTGACGCTTTTGCGGTGAACCACCGGAAAGAGTGTGTCGAAGCTCTTCCAGTACGCTTGTAGGTACTTCGGGATGGCGTTCCGGACGTGCGGCGGCAGGGTGTTCGCAGTTAGAAAGGCTGCCCCCTGGAATGTTCCCAGGAGCATCGTCGAACCCTTCTGGCGAGTTCCTGCCGACGCTGCGTCGGGAATTGATGGGGCTGCAAGGGTGACTAAATTTTCATTCGATTGAGCGGACAGTGAGATAGTCGGTGGGGTCGGACTACGAACTGAAGAGTAAGGATGATATTGCTGATCGACGAAGGATTGTTCGTCTGAAAAAGGGACCGGCAGGTTCATCGTTTGATCGATATTCGATGCTGTTGAAGAAAAGGCCGTTCCAAAGAAAGCGGTCGTGGTGGCGACTTCGAGCCCACCGCCTGGACTCTGCATGTTATGAGAGTAGAGGGGCCAGTCTGACGTTGGCGATTCGTACCCCTGAGTGTTCATATTATGTCTCCTGTGACCGATCTCCGAAGGAGTAGAGTAAGTACTTTCCGAAGCAGAAGATGGCCAAGGCGAACCATCGTGACCAGCATGAACAAGACCTGGAGGAATACTGTTGTCAGGTATTGTCAAGCTAGGCAAGTTCTGGGGTAAGATCGCAGTGTCCATAAACATGGAAGGGAAAGGAGAAGATGTACGAGGTTGGTATTCTAGCCCAAAGAAGTGGTCAGTACCTGTGACCGGAGAGCCCCCAATGCTTGGGGGTGGGTTGATCAAGCCAGACAGCACATAACTCTGGCCGGGATTGGGCGAGTTTTGATAGCTATCGCCGCGGCCGGGATGATGCGACGGGGACATCGAGGTCCCTCCACTGGTACTGCCTTGGCCTCCCATCTGATACTGCATACCACCGGGATAGGAGGTGCCAGAGGAACTGTCGGACGGACCAGGCATTCCCGAGCGAGAACCGGAGTCCCTACCCATGGATGAGTGACTATGGGTCATGTAACTCAGCCCAGAGCTTGGATCATCCAGGGTGCCGGCAGACGGCGGCCGGCTCATGCCTCCCGACGATGCCTTATCGTCATGGTCACTGGAACCACGTTAGTCTTTTTACTGGTGTTATGCCTTTTATCTAACCGCCCACTTACTGCCTCTGGGCGTGACGAGCGAGCAAGTCAGCTCTGTGAAATGCCTTTTCACACCCGGGAAATATGCATGGAAATCCGGGCGTCTTGTGGCTCAGTTGGTGGCGTCTGCAAGTCGGTGTTTAGTGATGCGTATCCCAACGATATCCGTCACCGAAATTACTTACCTAAGGTGTTCCGCCCTCGTAAATGTCTAATTTGTCATCAGATCAGCCTCTCCAGCCTCGTGCGTAATTTTGAAAAAATTGTGCTCACCTTGGGCGGTTTACATATGTCGCAGGTATGAACCGGGACGCCTTTCTTCGCTCTACTGACACGGCCGGTGATGGGAGTCAACTTCACCGGCATGCTCCCGTCTCCCGGCATGTTACCCATTGGTCTTGTAGGCATAGCAGAAGGCGTCATACTTCCTCCTCCAGATGACGAGCCTTGGGCGTGACCTCCGTACGCGGTGGGATCCATTGGTTCTGAACTCGTAGTACTGTGCCTACTCGTAAGCGCCGGCCTTGCTGATGATGATGTCGACGGCGAGGAAGCGGTAGCTGTTGATTTAGATGAGCGTCCTGTAGGACCACGCCGTCTCGTTGGGGCTGGAGCTAGTCTATCGTCTTGATCTCTGGGCTTCTCATGACTCGACGTTGCCGCACGGGAAGGATCTAAACTACGAGATGGCCCAGGTGGGATGGAGCCGCCATCGTTCTTATTTATCTGAGGCTCTTCTTCGTTGCCCATATCCATGATAAATTCCAAGCTAGTCATGGCTCAAATTGGAAACGACGCACAGCCCTGCAAGTTTGGATAAATAAAGAGTATATAGAGATGAAAATAGTCACAAAGGGTAAGACTGGAGTTAGGGAGGGGTGGATCTGTAAAGAAGGGCAAGGCTAGATAGATCTCGGCCTTCTAACTGGCGGCAGTATTCAAGTTGGTTCAAGAGAGAGGTCTGGTGTATAGCATCTCCGTCTGCGATGAAACGGGAAATACCAATAGCGAAGCAAGAAAGCAGGCTGAGCTGCATTGCTATATTGAGATCTAAAGGGCCGAAAAGGCAACACAAGCAAGCATAGAGGAAGACAGAGTGTACACGGAGGGAGGAGAAGGTTGACAAGAGACGTCGGTCACGGCCAAGCGGACGGATTCTCTGACCCAGCCTGCCTAGCCATGTACCTACATGTAGGTTGTAGTGTAAGGCACCCCTGCTCCAGCTGACGGTGGATCATGGACTGCATGGGTCCCGGGGTTGGATGAGGTCGCGCGACATGCAAGGTACTGGTCCTAACGGTGGTGGCTCATTTGGATACTATTTACGGGGATGCATCGTACGTGCGTATACACGGTGCTCGTAACGATAGTATGTAGACTACCTATGTATGTATGCACTCCCTTGCTAGGTAATGCGTATGAATAGCAGCCAAATTTGTTGCCGCGATAGTCGAGTTGGGATAGAATGAGAGTGAGAGTGAGAGTGAGAGTGAGAGTAAGAGTAAGAGTATGAGCGAGGGGAACGTCGCTCATTGCTCATTACTCATTGCTCATGGGTCCTCATGGTCGCTCATAGTCTCTATCAGCGTAGGCACATGCTGTATTTCGCTGACCATACATAGAGCCGTACATAGAGTGTAAGCATTATAGCTTTGCACACAAGGCAATTGTTCTATACTTTTTTGTATCGTGCTGTACCCGGTAGACCGGGTCGCGGCAAGGAGCGCGCCATAATTAGCAGAGAAGGGATCCCCAGACAAACCTAAGGCAAGGCAAGCCTGACAAGGGTAGTATCAGTATTGTACAAATACAACACTGCACTCACACACGCGCGCGTGAAAGACGACCAACACGGGAGAAGTGAGAATATTTCCTTCTTTCTTTCTTTCTTTTTCCCTCGAGGATCTGCCATAATGATACGACATGGCGAGAGAAATCATGTGGAAAGAGACAGATTTCTCTATTATTAATCTTTGCTGCGCTGTTGTTTCTTGTCAATGAAACCTCATTATGTTGGATTAGGTATTTTGGATCTTATTCTTTTTTAAGGGCAGATTTTCTGGGGAACCTCTAAACGGCCGTTGGTTCGATAAGACAGATGTAAGTACCTTAGGTACCTAAGGTGCGGGGACTTTAGCGAGACTGAAGTACCTTAGGTATACATGTACCTAGTTACCAATTCTTATAATCTGACAGGCCTTACATTATGTATTGTACATACATACCTACCTATATGTACATACACTACCTACCTTAGGTACACTACAACAACGCGATACAAGCCAAGGGGGCGCAGCTAGCAAACGGTCCTTACAGCCAGCCAGCACCGCCAGGGTTTCACGGCATTGTATCGACACGCAGACACGTTCCTGCCATTCATTGTACTACCGTGGTATAGGTTGTCGGGTTGCGTGGGTTGCATGGGTTGCGAACATTTCTGATACAGGTACATATATATTACCTAAAGACCCAGACCAAGACGTAGATCCTCACCGGAAGATCCGGCCCCAGACGGTCGGTTATCGCTTTCATCCGGTATAATAATGATGATGATGTTGTTGGTGATGGAAATTCAACGAAACATTATCAACTTGATTTAGATAGACCTCCTAAAGAGCCCATGTAAGAAAGAAGACTTTAAGTTACAATGGACAATCAACTTGTAAATATTAGGTAGGTGGACAAGGACACAAGCATCCTCCTGAGCGTCACGGGATTTTCTTTTCAGCTTTTCAGGAGCGGAAGATGTTCGATCCCTAATAAGCCTTCATTATATAAAACAAGAAATGTCAATATACATAGTGCAGGACATTTCTGACATCTAGTTCCAATTCTTCGGAGGCTACGTCTATCTACTACTCTACTACTTCCCCATGGTTCAACCTACCGGCTTGTTGACGGCACAGGGATTCCGAGCCCTATCCGTCCCTTTGCCCTTTTTACGGTACGATACTGTTCTCCTAGTGTACATAATATGAGTTCCGTTGTCCATGTTACATACATACATACAACAGAAGCACCTAAGCTTTGCAGCACGGCCCGCTGTAAGACGAGGGGGATATGCGGGTCGAATCCTTCAGGTCGCAAACCAGGTTCTCTATTGGTTTGCTGTTTCCAGCTCGACCTGTGGTGTGCCAGGGTTTAGGAAGTACCTGTACCGCAAAAGGGGGCTTGGAGGCGCCCATTTGTGATTTCTATTAATAGGTAACTAATAGACATCACCAGAGGTTAGGAATTAGAACGGGCACATATTGGCACTTGTGGGTTTCGAGGTGTGGTACATAGTAAGCCAGCGTAGAATATAGTGTAGATGATCCAGCCAATGCACCATAACAAATCGAGCGAAGGAACAGTCAAAATAGTGTATACCTAGCCAAGCGTCCCAGCGATCTACTACGATATGTTTCATGATCGCGTGTATTGAGATGTGGCGGCTATTTGACGCCATCGGTTGCGATCCGAAGACTCGATAAGATCAATGGGGTCCAAAAACGAAGACGGGAACAGGTGGTCTCTGCTTCTTTCTCAAAGGGAACTAGGAAAACGAAGTGCCTATCCGTTCCCTCGGGGTCCGAAACAAGCTTCGCTATAATGATTGCCGAGAAGATGACATGCATGGAAGATGGAAGCACGCAAAGAAGACGCACACACGTATTTACCTCGTCTTTTCGATTGATAAGCCCGATAGTGTTTACCACACTTGGACGATACTATAGGATATGACATATAATTAGTAGCATTTATTAGTTAAAGATATTCCTCTTGGATCGGACATGAACGCTTCCGGCTAGGCTTCGGTTAGGCACGTAATGATAATGGCCTTACGCAACAGGGTTCCCACGTTTTCATCGACGCATGTCGTAGATACATGTCGTAGATACAGTAGCTCATAAGCAGCATTTTTAGAGGGTGTGTTGCTCCAAGACAACATGAAATAAAACACTTGCATATAATAGGCCTAGCTGGGCGATGTAGGTCATGTAGATATCTAAGACATCTACGTATATGTAACTAACCTAGTATATGTAATAAGTAGTATGTTTCGTATGTAAGCCAAGTATGTAGGTAATATCAAATAGGTCTTTTGGGGTTACCTAAGGCAGAACCTGTGCAGAACGCGGACAAGAATCAGAAGTTACGGAAGCCCGGTACCGTGAGATACCCGTGATTACCTATGTACCTATGTAGGTATGTAGGTTAGGAGGTTCGATGTTCCCTTCCCCGCGTGTATGTCCGCACACTAGGTTACATAGGTACCTACCTTACAGCACTTATCGATTCTGCAGCCTGCCTTAGCCTCTCTAGCCCTACCTGCTAAACCTTATTACCTTAGGTAGGTACATACCTACAGTACAGCGTACATAGCCCTTTTCGGGGCAGTTTATGTAAGGTAATCTTAACCAGAACAGCCCTAGCCCCGGCGCTTAAAGTTATTTATAACCCCAACTACTACGTCTACCATCCGGAATTTGCAAATTTACATGGAGATTTACCAACTAAACCTACATACAACCCGCATACCTACGCCTCTCGCATGCTTCTTTGCATGTTCAAACTACCCTCCATTTCAACTTACCTCTTTATTTCTCCAAATCGCACACCATAACCACCCGAGGCTAGTAGCCAAAATAGATATCTCCAACCTACTTCGGGGGAATCAACTTGGCGTTCTCGCTCGCTCTTCGCCCTTCACTCACATTCCGCATCCGGCTTCGTCTGCGCCACGCTGCTGTGAGCGCCGACGACTAAATTGGCATCGGCTTTTTCTCCTACACGAGATTTCTTATGGTGTCTCGGTCACGCCCACTACTTCTGGATACAATATACGATACCATATCATACCATGCCATGCCATACCATGCCGTATAACGCCAGTTATAGCACTTTGTGCGACCTCACAGGCGCTTCTCTGCCCTGCGAGATCCTTAGCGGTCGCGTGGCACTTACAGCGGCTCCTGTATAGGCGAGACATGCGCCGGTGACTAATCTAAACTCGCCCAAAAAGGCGCCTCTTCTGCCCCTCCAACGTCATATCAAGCTTAGGAGTCTCCTTCTCTGTCCCGAGGTCCGCTCCAGCCGCGATCGCGACCCAAGATCGCCGGTCAAAATCATGTTCAGAGTATTTGCACGCCTCTACTCCTGTCTAATTGTTGGTATCGTGGATGTCATGCCAAGCCCAGTGTTGGTTACCGCTTACTGCATCGTACCTTGCATTCACCTCGACGACTAATAGTCATCGACTATATTGAGATGAACTTAGCCTCGCTCGATCAAGAACATACGTATTTAGATTCTTGCATGCTAATCCATCGTATAGTACTTATGTTGGTCCAATGGATTTTGGCTATACTGGTGGTCTAAGATGATAGCTGCCGGATAGATCGCGGCTGTGCCCCCAGTATATCCCAACGTCACTCCTGTTCCTAGGGACATATGTTCTAAAGAGTACCGCCCCCTAAGAGTAGTACTCCCCCAGAGAGTTGACTCTATTTCGAGGTCTGGGGGATGGTATTTTTCGTGTTCTATCCTACCACTCCGGTTGTCGTGTCATTGTTCTAAGTTAACATGCATAGGCATGTTCTATTCTTTCACATCTCATACTACAGTGAGAGTGAATACTGTACGATGAGGATGCCCAGCTCCCCACTCACACCGGTACGGTGTTACGAGACAAATGGATTGAAAAATATTACGAGAAGGCGTTCCCGGAAAGTCTTCCGAAGATCCTTAGCTTGTGAGGGCAATGTTGAGAACGTAGCCCCCTAAGTTTCAAACGCTGCGGCCCGCTTCATAAGTCGACCCCATCTTCTACTCCACAAGAATGCCTACGCTAGCTTGATGTTCTGCATGGAACCGTAGTTCAGGGGGAAAGGACGCACCCGTTATCTTAGGACAGACGGGTAGTTCCGAGTAGTGCCGCCACAACTAGTGTAGCGCGGCCCGGAATAGCTTCGATGGGGGTGCTAAAAAGCCGGTGGCGAAGCTTAGTCGAAGACGTAGGTCTTTAGCCGTACGTGATTCGCCAGAGAGATCTATAATCGCATATATGTACTCTCATATAGCTATCATTAGTACGACTGATCGTGTGATAGCAAGTCTACCTATGAATAATATTTTTAGTAGATTTATGAGGTAGGTAGATACGATCCCCCATTCCCTCATGGCCTACTCGGACATGAGATGTCTTCGAAGCCCGCGCTGGATAAGGCAAGGTCAGAAATAGAATCTTTACAAAGACTATTCATAATTATAGCCGATATAGCCTTCAAAGTAAAACGCGTAAGCCCTCGACGTTCAGTCTGATAGCCCAGCATACAAATTACCCCTGATACCCCTGGTAACTATATGATGACTACCTATGTAGCTAGTGCTCGTTGTATGCCTTGCATATGTCTCAGAGAGTATACCGCCGCTCGTAATTTAACAGAAACTTTGATGGGGAAAGGCCAGTAAGGGGCTAATTCGCGATTGTGGCGTTACGACACTACCATTATCCCTTGCTTCCCTTGCTTCCACGTAGGGCTGTTCAACGTAACCAGCCTAGAGTTTCATTTCCTTCCTTTTTTTTCATCACACGTGATAGAGGATAGAGCCTTGTCCCTTGATGGTTTTCTATTCCAACCAACAGTGACATTATCACGAATACTACCAACATCACCTCCTATCGCTTACTGTTGCCCATACCACGTTTGACGTCGTAATCGACCACTCCCCCCGTTTTAATCGACCATCCCCCCCGTTTGTCTGTTGGCAACCATTGCCACAGCTAAAATACCATTCTACTAATTCCGGCCTTGTGTACCCTCCCTCGGGCTTGATATGCCTAGCCACAAGTGCGCTTCGCTTCCTATCCCGCGCGTCTAATGGCTCCGAACTCCACTCAGGTGGCTGCGGCAGCGTCTGATGGGATACATGAAACGGCACAGATGGTGCTATATGTTATAGCCATTGTGACACTTATTAGCTCTAAGGAGCTACCCGGCTCTAGCCTTGGGTTCAACCCCTGGATATGGAGCGAATATGCCAGCATCTAGCTCCCGACTGTTGTGTGACCTCACAAGTCGACTGGACAGTGGGAGGTAGCATCGTCAAGTAGTTAACCCATAATAATCCCTCGTATTCATGGGCATATGATTCTCCAACTGGCAGCTAGGTTGTTCGAGTAGCACAGATCTACATGGCATACTTATAACCCGAGCCACGAGCCTCGACGTAGCAGAATCAGCACTACCGTACTTAGGAGACACACCCCCGTACTCAGATTAGTCTGTCTTACGCGTCGTTACGACTACCGTCACAATACCTAGCCGGATAACGCCTCGTACGCACATCAAAGCCTAACGATCCTGAAGGCATCGTTCTGAATAAGGAACGAAGGTAGTTCCAGAGGTAACGCCTCACATTGCCGACGTGACAACCGGGATACCTACATTACCCCTATCATTGTGCTGGGCCACCAACACACGGCACCGGGAAGTAAGGTAGTATACGAAAGATATACCCAGAATGATCAAGTGAATATACAATCCAGACACCGCGTCTAGCTAGGTTGTACACTGCCGAGACTCGATAACAAATATAGACACCTGCAGTCAGACTACCTGCCTGCCTACCTCCTATGCAGCCCTAAGAGTGAAACCGAGACTATCCAGGGGCGTATATAAAACCACCATCGTAGCAATGCAATATAGCTTGATTTGTTAAAACATGGCTAAAGATAGTCATGCCCTGGCGAAATATAGCACGGCAGTCTATATACCTACCTACCTAGGTATATTACTATCGTGCGATGTGGCAGCTCACCAGCATCCCACCATACTACCTACAAAGTAATCCTCAAAGCCGCATATGTGCTCTCCTTACTAAATACAACCATGCCATGGGCATGATCCAGTCTGCAAACTACAGCTCGCAGACTGATGGATGTCGCCGACCTGCGAGTCTCCATCGACCAAGCAAGCCAGTGTAGATCCCTATTTCAATATTCCGTAGTAACTCATATCCGCCACGACCGCATCAAGAGGCAGTCTATAGCACCGTCGGTGACTCCTCCTCAGGGATCCCAATTACCACTGAAGCGATAAAAGCTTACACGATCCTACCAATAGCAGAATATATAACTTTTAACCAAAGAACAATTTACCATACCTCTTCTTCCACCTTCAAAACATCGATATAATAACAGCTTAATACTCATTAACATCTAAGAAACTCCGCGCTTCCCAGTTGAGAAACTAACCTTACGAAACATCTTATGAAGTTAGTACGCCTTAGGTAGGGATGTAATAGGGGGAAGGAATATCTACACTAACATAGCCATGACTTACGAACCCCCTTACCTTTACCAAAGCCTCAATCACAGCATCCGCGCGCAAAAATCAGGCTGATCATGAACATTCATGCTGGGAATTATCTCTATCAAGTGCGGTTGACATACGTACCTAAAGCAGCGAAGTCGTTTATCTACTCTCCCACTACCCTTCGACTCCTCGACCTCAATCTTATTTACGGTGTCAGAAATGCATACAAAAAACCCGTAAAACGCCGTCGCGTTCGTAATTATTGCACCTTTTGTATTCCCCGATCACCCGATCGTCAAAAAAAAATTTATATATATATCTAGTTGCTTTCGTCATCGTCCCCTTCGTCTTCGGAGCCAAACTGGCTATCCCCGTCATACGGCCTCGTACTGACGCTAAGGCGGGCCAACGGTCGAAGTAACTAACTGGTGGACGCGACTACCCGCCCGTGGCCGTTGCCAATGTTCTTATCTTCGCTCTCTGAATCGTCATCGCTTGGTGGTCGACTATCGCGGAGGTTACGACGATTCTTGGTCATCTATTCATGTCAGCGAATTCACCACTTTGGAATATTATAAGTCAACTTACCCAAGACCTCACGCCACCAATTAGACCAAGTGTATAACCGGTCATAAAATCATTAGGAGCTGGTGTCCTCTCGCCTGACGGGCCTGGCGTAGTGGGTGATTTAGCAGCAGCGGCCAGGGCGGCAGCCTCTCGTAAATTACCATCACCATTCGAACTTGAAGGGCCTGGTGTGGTAGGAAAATTAAAGCGGCCACCTGGGGCAGGACTTTGAGGTCGACTTGCGGGCCAGTACTGACGGAGCTCACGACTAAGTTCCTGACCTGTCGTAGTCCAGTTTGCTCTGATATTATCACGCAAATCCTGGACATGACGTTTGAGATCAAGCTCGTTCTTCTTGAGCCAGCTCACGTTAAGCTCTTGGCGTGATGTCCCTCGCTTCAACTGGCGAGCAATATACTTTTCGTAGTCGCGGACAATCCTAGGTTTCAAGTCAGTATCGCTGCACCTCAAACAGCTCCAATGCCGTTAAGTAGTACTTACTTTGTAATGATGCCCGTTGTGCTCACACCCTCGGTTCGCTGTGTTACCAAGAATTTTCCAGCTTTCTTAATAGGAGCATAAATATCGTCGCCCTCGGCGGCGCCGTATGGAATATCATCGTGAGCAACGTAATCAATCCGGTGCTTCTCTAGGAATTCCGGCGTTACAATCCAGGGGCAATTCTCAACAACTTCGTCAACCCACTTGCAGTGCCTGAGTGTTTCGGCACGCTCTTTGCCAGAAAGAACCGTTAGGCCCTTACGCTTGTGCGTCTCTTCGTCGCCTGTAACACCAACTATCAAGTAGACGTCGTCGAATGCCTTCTTCGCCTGTTCAAGCTGGCGCATGTGACTGCCGCAATATTAGTAACGTCCTAATGGCACAGAGACTATATATATATAAGCCCTCGCTAAGCAGTGCTTACATACCCGAGATGAAATAAATCAAAGACACCATCAGCATAAACCCTGATAGTGCGTCCAACGGGCGGGGGATTCGTTTTGTATCCAACAGGGTGTACAAGACGCCCGGTTGGAGGCGGTAGCATAGCAGCTTGCTTCTTCGTCTCCTCGTCATCTTGTGTCATGGTATCCCTAAGGGTAGTAGGCTTCCTACTCTTCCTAGTAACTCGATCGGCAATATCAATGCTCGCTTCGGTGGTGTCGCTCGGCTCACCGGGGTCTACGGCATGGCCAGCCGTCTCGAGGGCGGAGGTACGATCGGAATTAGCACGTTGTCGTTTCGCGGGGTTCGAGTTGGAAGCAGATTCCGACTTGCGGTGTAATAACTTTCCAGACTCGGGCGCTGTGGTATCTCCCTCTTCGCCAGATGCGTCCCTCGAGGAGGGCTGCAAGAGAGGATTTTCATCCATCTTAGCAGAGCTCGAGGTTGCTGGACGTTTACGCTTGCCGGCATGTGAGGAGCTTGAAGGAGATGACATTTTGGCTTTGGATTTGGCTTTGGCTTTGGAGGGCTAGGTTGGAGAGAGAATTGTGTGCCCAGGTGGATGCTCGGGATGGGCGTTGCTCAGAAATTAACTCGGCGAGCTTGAAGGTTAGGAATTGGGGAGGATGATTCGTAGGCTGATGCTAGATTGACATAAGACTGCAACGATACAGATAATGTACATGCAGCTCTACTTCCCCGTAAAAGTCGTTGAGGCGTTCGGGAAGAGTTGGGGCACCGCCACGGGGGAACCGTGAATTATGTAGCTTAATGTAGCTGAATGTAGTTGAATGCAGTTGAATGTAGCTTGTCAACTGGAATAGATTCAGGCAAACGTCACAAGCAATTGCTCACATGTGTATAGATAGCAATTACGGAATATCGGTGGCGAATAAGAATTTAAAATCACCGGAATGTTGGAGCCCTCAGTGGGATGTGAACAGAAGAAATGATGATGATGATGCTGATAATGATGGGAGCATGGCGATACGTGTATCTAAGTGTATATAATCGATAAAGAAACTCAACGTGGACGGAGGACGTGCTTTCTCTTTTCTCCCCTGCTTTAAGTCGGTAGGTCGGTAGGTCGATAGGTCGGGTGCTTGCTGGGTACCTACCTCACTAACTTAGTAGTATTACCCCAGCCGAGGACAGATTTACGCTAGTAATAAAAGGGGTTTCCAACTAAGAAAGAGATCTTTTTAAAAGGAGTTGTTTTAAAATTGCACAAATCAATGCTACATCCATGAAGTTCCAAATTTCGATAATTTCAAAAAATTTCTGTAATGGTTCGATTCCCTGGTTAGGGATACACACCATGTAAGTGGCGTCATGACGTACCATAGCTTAACCCGGACCTTTTAATCCAGCATTTCTCATGCTTAGCTGTGGCTGATGCTCCGGAAAGTATTGTATCATGTGGCGTGGCATGGCGCCGAGATCCCGATGGAAAGTCATTTATTTCCGGTTTAGGTTGTCAGTTATGTCAGTTATGGCAGTTATGTAGGTACCCAGGTATCACCCGTGTCAGTCCCGTAGACATGTCATAAACTCTACAACGATTGAGTTTATGCCTTTTTTTTTTTCATTTAAACAAACGCCCATGATATGACTTGAGGTTATTTCATCTTTTAATAAAGTTTGCATGATACATATTATGCCAAAATGGCAGTCACATAGATCATAGTCAAGTCTATAGGAAACATAATAATTTGAAAGCGAGTGAAACTTGTCAAATTCTTTATTCTTAATTCCTATCCGAGTAAATCCAAGACAAAAGGTATCCCAAGTCGTCTTATACGACAGGTCGACATTCTCTCGTTACCGTATTCCCTTCCGCATGCAATGCAGAGTCATGCAATGCATAGCACAAACATATATACTCATACTCATATTCCAATAAGTCATTAAGTCCGTAGCTTATATCCTACCCAGGTAGGTAACCAATATTCCCAAACATATCCTTGAAGCCCTTTACACTACTTAGATGTCTGCGGTATTTGGCCGATCGTGATCCTTAACTTGGCCCTGCAAGACGCGCACCCCGCATCGTTGCTATTTGACCAATTCCATCGGCACGGGCATATATACCTAAGCCTTCCTCGAGAGGGAGAGACAATAGGTAGTATATTGGTTAGTTGGTAGTGAGGCATTTCTCATCCTCCCGAGAATAGAGTTTATTCTCGGTTCTTTAGTCAACCTTTATAGTTGACTATGTACTTTATTTTGACAGCCCCCGTCCCCTCCGGCCGTGTCTTACACGAGCCGAACGGGCCGCTGCTGTCGCGTGTGTCGTCCGCAACGGTGCGGGTGTCTCGGAGAGCTCCGGTAGCAGAAAGCCCTCGCCTTCTCGGGAGCGGCGGCGCCAAACTTTTGCGATACCTCGCAGTATTCCTGGTTGCCGCCGACCCACTCGCGGATGTGGTTGTGCAGCTCACAGCGCGCTGTGCGGCACTTGCGGCAGTACACCTGGCCCCGCGGGGACAGCAGGGCCAGCGAGTTCTGCTTGCCTACTCCGCTGCTAGCCACGAACGGACCCGATATAAGTGCGTTCCGCCACACCCATTCCATGTCGTTGGGACCCTCTCGCCTAGCTGACAGTGATACTTTGCCATGCATCCGCTTGTGGATGGAGTAGAAATGCTTGTTTGTCAATCCTAGGCACGTGCTGTCGATGGGGTCCAAGAAGTCGAAGATGGCGTAGTGCAGCTCAGGGGGTAGATCCTCTATGGTAAGGGCCACACCCGGTTGGTGTGTAAACGGGACTGGCTCGACGTCTGTCACTGAGTACGACCTTGGCTGTACTGGCATGGGTGGGCGTACGGGCTGGACATGGTTTGTGCCTCGCGGAGTGAGTACGGCAGGAGAAGCCGCGAGCTGCGGCTTTGTAGTCGCAACGTGAGGGTGGAACTCGAAGTACAAGTCTGTCTCGATAGACTCTCTCGGTGTAGCAAGCGGGGTGGGTAGACGGTGTTGTCTCTGCAGGACGATGGACGAATTAACCGAGGGTGGATAATCAGTTGTGGAAAAAGCACGTCGAGGCGTCCAGAGGAGGCCATTCTTAGCTACAGCTTCCTTTGCAGACACATTCTGCTGCTGCAATGCCACCATCGATGTTTCCGAGGCTGGACCGAGGTCCACATTGAGGAATCTACTTGAGATGTCCATCATGTCGGATGAACCTGGTGATAGTGGCTGTCCCAGGGACGGCGCACGGAGAACTTCAACCATGTTGTCTGTAGGTTGGTGTGTTTTTCAAATTCAAATATGACGAGAGATGCTGTTGCACCCAAAAATTTTTAACCAGGTAGCAGTGAGAAGCACCTGGTTCTTCAGAATGTTATTCTCGAGTTTACAATAAGACTGGCAAGCCCTAGGGTCAAGTTGAATAACTAGGGTCCTCAGTTCTAAGATTGCAAAATTTGCCGCTTAGATGGTGGCTGATAACAACAGCGGCACGATGGATTCGCTTTAGTCAGGAACAGCCGAGGCTGGAGCTTAGGTTTGTATGTATATGGGGATTTTGTTTTTCTTTCTGGGGTCTGGAGATCCGATGTGGAGGAATCTTCAGATATATCGTGGAGTAGATATATCGTGGATGGAAACTCGTTCGATAGTCTGTTGACGAGTCGTGACACTTACCGAGGCCTCGAACTACGCGGGACGGGAGGGTTATTAAACCTGCCGCCATCAAGAAAGCGGTAAGGGGTCAGCTACGGCCTACGAGAACTAGCCACACTGCTACGATGACTATTAAGTGGAGATGCGGTTCCACTTCTGGCAACTTGGCAAGGCGCTGAGGACTAGAGGTCTGGAGATGTATCGTGACAAATGGGGAGAGATGAGGGTGGTGTGACCCGCAGCCATCGTCGCCCCCGACCGGGAGTCTGGGCAAACACGGGGGAATCCTCTAGAAAACCGGGCTAGGCCAGAAATAAATATTTTCATCTGTGATTTGAGCAATGCCAGCCAGTCAGGACGGGGTTCTAGAAGGGCAGGCTGAGTCCGAATTGGGTCACTCTGTCACTTTGGGGGGACGGGAGGAGCTCGGCGGTTGTCAGAGAAATCTCTTATTCATTTTCAGTCCCGGGAATTTTCGCTAGCCACCCCGGTCATCCCGGTTGATTCCTGAGCGATAGCGGACGGGCGACTAGTAATAAGCTAAATACGTAGGTATGTATGTATGTATGGATGGATGGATGTATGCACATAGGATAAATTCATATATGTCATCGACTTAACATAGTTGCGTGGTAATACATACACTATGTCGAATAGTTCCTTTGCTCCATAACTAATCTATTGCTAGCTTTAGGATTTAGGATTTCGGTCCAAGCCGTTATGTCGAGAACTACTGAATGCAAGGGTATCGTGACAAGTATCCATCTTACATACATAGTGTAAGTAGGTAGGTAGTGTAGGTAGTATACATACTACATGGCTGCTGTGCCTTTTCCTTCCCCAAGCGGTAGAACAATAATCCCTTTTTATGTTAATTCGATACTTAATATGCGACGTCGAACCGAGGGTTGTGGAGTGGAAAACAGGGCAGAAACGAGCGACTCGGGGACCTGCCCAGCCTACTGGAACTCGATATAGCAGCGATGTGCAACGTCAGACAACATCAATTTCCAACACATGCTGACATGTTGGAAGGCTTCGGGAATCGGCATCAGCAGATGCGAAGAGCCATTCTCCCGAATCTTACAAACGAGGAGAAACAAATCCGTTACCAGCCAACAAGATAGCCAATAAGATCACGTCGACCTTATTCCGTAAGGGATGTCAATTAGATCTCTCAATCTCTCAATCTCTCAATCTAAATCACCTTGTTTCCAGTGCTAATCCGACGTTCTGGACTGCGTCAAACAATATGTACATACATACATACATACCTTGGCAACTTATCCGCGCTCTTCATGCAGATCGTCACGATCGTATCCACTGCTACGGGGCACTGACGTCCCTTTGCCGATAATGGAGCCACGCCTTACCGTGATCTTGTCGTCTCTGGTTAGGTCGTACAATCACTGGCAGATATCTTTAACTACAAGAAGGAATCCGGTGCTGATGTATACCCTACCTTGCATACATACGGGCACTATCCATATAACCTATGTACTTGGCTTCTCGCTGGCTTCCGGAGTGTCAAGTAAGCGGGTGTGCCCTTTAGAGCTTTTACATATATAAATGAGGGTATGAGGGTCATTCATATATGTATGCAAGGCAAGTTTCTTACTGCAGCAAGTCATCATATATTTTAATACAGCTCCTCGTCCCGTGCCGTGTTAGACTGGATAGAGAAGACGATGGCGTGCTTCCGCTGCTACGGTCTTCGTTACGTGGTAACTAGGTACATAGGTCTTCGCTGAGCTCCGATCTACGAAGATATACATCGGTACATGGAATCCAATGGTCTGTTTTCCCTGTTTGCTGACGCAGGGAAACTTGGCGACCCTGAAAGGAGTCTAGATCGAGGTGACAGCTCGGCCAGCCGCCACCTTTCCATGCAGTACAACACCATTTAGGGCTGGCTAGATGTTGATCGCGTAACACTCCGATAAGGTAACGGGCATAGATTTAGACTCGGAGCAATATCGACGGTAACTATGTATATAACACTATTCTGGTTCTTAAGTTTCCCTAAATGTTTAAATAGATGAAGTTGTTAACTCCCCTCTCTTACTCAGACGCTTGCTTGTTGGGTCTACGGTAATTAGGGCTCAGATCACTCCAGTAAATATAATAGCTAGTTTAAATGGCCAGCATTTGCAGAAAAACACTTTTGTTGGTATACCAGTAGTTTATGCCTTCAACTAAGCGTAGTATAGTACTATAACTAAGCATCTCAAGAAGCATAAATGACTTTTATATTGACTAACCACAGCATCTCCAAAGGTAGGCTGTCTAATTCCAACCTACGAACTTATCCTACTTACGAAGAGCATACATATATGAAGACGGTATTTCTAGGACAAAGAGATATCATTCTATCACGAGTAATGTTTACATTAACGAGACTGGTTATATTTATTTATAGGAGGTAGTCTTTTCACATGTCACTTGGAAGCCCCTTGGTGTAAGGATAAACGAGCCTAAATCACGTAATAATACCGATCACGTTCGACTAGGTTAGTATGTTTATTCTAACATATGTCTAAAACGGGCGGGCGGGCGTTACTAGTATATATCATCTATCCTCTCTGTTCAAACATCGACGACATCCGTAAAACCACCCCTCACTACAAATATAAGTCAGGGCTGCGAAAGTCCCTGGGGCAACTGATTCCGCATACTGGTTGGCTATAACCACCACCACCACAACCACCACCACCACAACCACCACTACCGAACGGATATTGTAGGCTACCTGCTACCGCCAAGCAGATAGAACATCGCAACGTCAACGGCAAGCCCTATAAGAACAGTAGTCTGTAGAGGTTGTAAAGGTGGTACATAATCAATTTCTCTTTTGCGTAGATATAACAACGTGTTTTTACAGCCAGCTCCCGCCCGCACGCCGTTTACCAAGTCGGACTTCCTTGCACGTACATGCCCTCATATCCCGACCCAGATGACGCTAATCACAACATCCATGCCCTTGCCCTCGCCGCCGTCGTACTTGAAGCTCCACATCCCGTCCGTCTTCTCGTTCCAGAAGGCCTGCGTGGCCGAGTGCATGCCCCGCCGACCGACGTGCGGCTTCCCGTCCGTGGCCGTCGCGTTGCCGCCGTCGCTGGTGCTGATGCGCGGGCTTTCCGCTTTTACGTCGCTGCCGCCTTTGGGCTTGTTAAGCGCCGAGGTCGGCACTAGGTGTTGCACGATGGTGCTGTTGACGACGTATTTGTGGGCTGGGGTCTGGGAGCCGGAGGGGGTTGATTCGGATATGATGGCTCGGAGGATCGAGTTCTAGCACGGGTGTGTGTCATGTTAACAGATGAAGTTTCTTGTAGAGTAGGTAAAATAGGAATAGTAGATCGAGGGAGACGTACGATGATGGTGGCGTTCCAACCTTCGACTTTCGAATGCTCGTAGAACTCTGCACTACCTATGGCGCTTTGGCAAGCCTATGTTTGTCCGATATTAGCTTGTTGGGCTCTCTATTCTGTTCTCTTGAGGAAGGGTGCAAGGCGAACCTACGTCCATCGCGATCTGCTTTAGTCTGGTAGTGCTAATTGGCTATAGACAACTCCTGTAAGTTTCTTCGAAAGTAACGAGGGTTAGCGGTCATTGTGACATACGGCATTGTTCTGCGGTGAGGCCATTTTGGATGGTGACGACGTCGAGATTTAGAGGTAATGGGGGAGTTACGGGCGGAAATATTCTACTGCGAATAAGTTGTGGTAGATTCGTAGAATTTTCGTATAGAAGTCGTAGTGGTGGTATCTGGAGGCAATTGGTAGTTCACTCAGGATAAAGCAAGACTTGTATGGTAGCCTTGTGCTTGGTCTTGTTCAGCCTTCCCCCTCTGACGTTGTAAACAATAAATTGATGCAAGGCTTCAATTATTTTCAGAAGGGGAGGGGCCGCTATGAGATCCCTGCATATACATATGTACATAAATACATGAATATTATGTATATAGTTACACGAACCGGTAAATTATGTAAGGATGTTTTGGCTAGTCCCTTTTCAGTCCTGCGCGGGGAAAATGGGCACGTGCGTAGTTCTTCTTTCCTCCTCTCACAACCGCAGCTTTTATAAATCCCTGCTACTCCTTGCTATTCTCTTCAGATTAACCACTGAGATTCGCGAAACGGCACACGTGGGTGAGCTAATGATATCAACTAACCGTGTTTAGATGTTTAGATACTTTTTTTCGCTACTGCTATCAATAGCTTTCAACATCAGACTATTCAATTAGCATCGTCATAGCTAGTCTTTTTTTTTATCTTTGTTTTGACTTTTCGTCTTTCTGTATTTCTGCATTTCTGCAGAGTTTGCACTCAATTCCTTTTCATCCCCGTTGCCCACAGCTCGTTTCATATGCGTTTTGCTTTTTTCCAACAATTCGACCGCGACGGTTCAGAGCTTCTCTAGTTACAATTACAGTTAACTACAATTTTAAGTAACAAACTCAACTGTTCGCCAACGGAAACATATCCTTAGCCAGCTATTAAGCTTAATTCCACGGACCATAATTCTAAAACCGTCCATCTATCACCAACCATCAATCGCCCGAGATGTCTAGCCAACCTCTTCTACAAACGGCTCCAGGTAAACGCGCCTTCTTCGGGAATAGGACCTATTGAGCCATTGATGCTGGGAACTAACATATTTCAACCAATTTAGGCAAACGGATTGCCCTACCTACCCGAGTCGAACCCAAGGTCTTCTTCGCCAACGAGCGTACTTTTCTATCATGGCTGAACTTCACCGTCATATTAGGTGCCTTGGCCATTGGCATGTTGAACTTCGGTGACCGTCCCGCATTCATCTCGGCCTTCCTATTTACGGGTGTAGCCATGCTCACCATGATATATGCGTTATTTACATATCATTGGCGAGCCAAGTCGATAAGAGTAAGGGGGCAGGCTGGTTTCGATGACCGCTTCGGGCCGTCCGTACTGGCTATCATCCTCCTATTAGCTGTCGTCGTCAACTTTGTATTGCGGATATCATACTCCGGCGCAGAGGGCGGGAAAAAGCATTAAGTTCAGCCGGAAAATCGGAGGATGCAGATTGCAAGGTTGTGAATCAGGCCCGCGGGAACTTGTTTAAGAATGAACCCAAAGTCGGTAATACCCAAAGTCGGTAGTTTTGCAATGTCTCTTGCTAGTCTTTCAACGGTGGGCAATGGCCGGTGCGAATGGGAAGTTTGTATATCAGACGGCATCTTAGCATGGTATATTTCCTATCGGAAGTACATTTCTGTTGGAGTTTGTTTTGGTCATCATTACGAGTTTGAAATTTATCCATATGCTTTGTAGCATGTGATATGAGAATGTTAGTGCTTCGTAGCATAAAAGCCTCTCTAAAATAGAGTGACATCTGCTGGGTCTTTTCGTATCTGTGATCTTGCTTGGGTATCTTAATATTAGGGTTGACTCTACCGTCTCTCTCCCTACACGGATGATAATGGTTCGGCGGATTCTCTACTTGGGGCCGGCATTCGTTTGTTCCCCGTATCGCCTCTTGAGCTCCTCAACGGGAACTGGAGAAAGGAACAGGCTCATGACAGGTATTCCTCGCCAGCGTGGTTGGCCTTCGATAGCTCTTTCAAGAGGAGTCTTCATAGTCTCAAAGTCGTCATCACCAGCGTCGCCTAGCTTCGTTTCCTCAACAATAGTATTACCATCGCCTCTGGGTATTTCCTTGAGCTCCTCGCCTAGCGCGATATATTGAAACCAGATGCGCGCATCGTCCGCTCGTTTTTCTAACTCGCGCTTCGCGATTTCGGCTACCGAGACCAACTTGCCCGTGTCGGGAGCTTTAGCGCGCAAAACAATTACACTCGTCTTGCCAGTGGCGGGGCGAGTGAGGTGTTGGAGAATGGAAACGACTTTCTTCTGGATCTTAGAGGACGAGATTATCGAGTGGACGTGGATATCATATTTAGACTCCAGAACTTGGAGCATTTTGATATCCTCAGTCGACGATAGGTTAAGGCTGGCCTCAAGCTTGGCTTTCTTGTTTGGTGCAATCGGATCAGTATCGGAACGCTTCCTCTTCGATAGCGAGTCGCCGGTTCGGTTGCCCTTTGGGGGGTTTCTTGGGGCGTTCATGATGCCGCCGCCGAAGGGTAAATGGTCGTCATCGAAGGTTGTGTGTATGTTGGAAGTTGAGCAAGGACTTAGATTGACTACCTACGTTAGGTACGTACCAGTTAAATCTTACATACATACCAGGTAGGTACCTATGTACATAGGTAGCTTTAAGGTATGTATCTTATCGATAACGCAAGATTATCAACCGTTGCAGCCATTGTTACTTCACTATGAATAAAGTGCTTACTTTAACTCCACATAATATTTACATGGGAATATAAGGCTTATGCAGATAACTATATTCTTATGTAAACGGGGAAGTGCCCAAATATTCGCTTAATTTGGAAATAGTCGACTTTTGTTGATCTTCCTGCTTATCGATATGTAACATCAAGTTGTCAGTTGTCAAACGAGAACAAGGAAATCTTTCTTGGCCAACACGATGAGCTTCGCAACTCAGACACGTTTGAGACGAGGCTAATACAAAATTGGTTGATCATAAATGGCTTCATGCGGCCCAGTTCCATATTGCCAAGAATGAACGAAGGTATCATGAAGGTATCGTATGAGAATTACAATCATCTCAAACAATCTCTATGTATATAATTCATTTCCACCAATCAAGCCATCTTCTGCTGTTTACCCAAGTATTGGTGTACATATCATGAAAATAGTTATTTGTAATGTAATATGGGTTGGGTACCTATTCAATTCGTACTCCTCAACAGCTCGTCTAAGTTCGTTTCTCTTGGCCTTAAGAAGAAATGTTTCAATCTCAACAATATGATGTATTTCATGTTACAGTAATGCATAGGTACTACTAAAACCTCCGGTCACTAACCAATGGTGTCCAGTTACAGCCTGCCATGTTTCAGCGAACCAAACGCATATGTATACTACATGTAACTACCTTAGGTAGTCATGTATGTTATCTATTAATACATACTTCCATGCTTAGGTACTTGTGAACCACGCCGCTTTTAGCCTGAGTTCAAGTCTCTCTTATGCAACTTCATAAGTGTCCAGGTTAGGTATATTATATGTATTTGCATAAAACACGGCTCTTTTTATGACTATGATTTTTATTTTGAACTCTTTATTTTATCGAGTCGAAATATTTATTCATACTACGTTATTCTATATTACATACATACCTATCTCAAGTACTTAGGTGCTCAAGTGCTCAAGAGGTGTGCGGTATTTAAAGCCGCTAAAGCTGACTAGTACATGTTGGCGTTGACGGATGAGGCAGAAGACTTTTCGCTCTGGATCCAGCAAAAGCAAACAGCATCATATACGCACGTTAGCCCGACGACTCCCACCAATCACAGACCGGTCCCATAGCTCAGTCGGTTAGAGCGTCGTACTAATATCACCAGTATCATCATTGGTTATATCCTCGTCCATGCGAAGGCCGGCGGTTCGAGCCCGCCTGGGACCATTACTTTTGCTACTTCAGCCTACTCCTAGGTATTGGGTTGCCTTTTTGTCCCTCTTATCACTTGTCTATAGCTTTTTACTTATACTCCTACTACTCGAGTCTTTGTCTTTATTTTTATTTTTATTTTGAAAAGAGGGGGTTCTTTTTTTCCTTTTTTTCTTTCGCGCTTTTATTTTCTCTTAATTCGCAAACTTCGAATCAGTAAATGCCATTCTTGTACATATACATTTACTAACTAGTGATAGTTAACACTTCTCAATCCTATCTCGGGCTCGTCAGGGGCAGTTTTATTATACTTGATATGTTTACCAGTTACTCTATTTAGTATCAGAGATACCTTAGAAACACCCACAGGTCTAGTCCTGTTTGTCACTCTTCATCCAGAGTTGCAATATCAGTTCCAAGCCATACAGTTAAATCATGTAAAAGACCATGAGTAACTGAGTCGTTGACATGCCGGTCACCTTTCCGTGTAAAATAAAATCACAGGTATAGTACTAATGTAGCGCTATGTTGAGGATGCTACGGTTTGCATATAACTGCTAGAGACTATGCTGCATAGAGTTAAAGTTAATGGCTTGGCTTGTAGTGTAGTCAGTGGCTGTATTAACCCATGCCCCATCTTATAATAAGGGGAGATATGTCAGGATTCTAGATGAGACATCTAGAACAAAGGACATGTTCAGTATGTATTATAGACACAGGCTCTCATGGGTAGATTAGAGTTCCTCGCGGAACAACGAAGTTGTTTCCCCCCTGTTTAGTCCCACCTCGTGACAAGATATACTCCTTATATTATAAACAGACCTAATACCATCAGTTGCTCAGTGTGGCCTTATTATATCTTGACAATGACTTTACTTAATAGATTATGTTGTATATTTAGGGGATTTTTTCAAGTCGAACACCAATAATCCTACAAGGGCGTAATAGGGAGAGTGGATATTGTTATCGAGCCTTTTTCGAATCGAAAATTGTATCAGCTAAGATTATAATAGGGGGGATTCTTCAAATCTAACGGCATCATCAAGCCCCGTTTTATATTACGTTTGATTAAAGATTTCTTATGGACATGCTTAGCCGGGCTACACTAACATCTTTAAAATGTTCCGAAGTATCATGATCCTAATGATTTTCTTCTACTTAGCAAAGTTACCTAAATAATCTAAGTGTTTAAACTATTGGCTATATTTTAACAATTACACTTTTAGATTTGACACGGGCTCACTCTCAAGCTATATTTACATTTTAATCTTATATTCTACCACAGCTGATATTTCATCTTCAATTAATTCAGGCCCAGTTAAATCAGCAAGATATATAAACTCACATATATAGTTTTCATTCGTCTCGGCTTGCAATCTATTGTCATTATTATATGATTCTAGTATAATGGATTTTGCTTAACACCCCTATTATTTTCTATTTATGCTGGTCCCAAGTAAAGATATGATGAGAAACAGGTGATTATTCGCTAGAAATTACTAAGAAGCTAAAGGATATATGCGAAATAGGTTAATATCAAGACGCCGGGTTTTTGGATTACTTTTAGCTTGTACAAACACTGTAGCACGACGACTGGCGCACCATCCGATTCACGTTAAAGTATTATCACTAGGACTGTTAGGAGTTTACTAGGTCTAGAAACTCTTTACAGCTAAGATGAAAAGAGTTTCGATGCATTCTAACATTTAAGCTTCATATTAGGAGGTTACTTTAGGTAGTTATTAATAGATAGGTATATCACGAACCTACCACACCGAGTCCATCACCGTATTTACTATTAAAATTAAAGTAATCGATATAGAATTAACCGCCCGGCTACCCAGTAAGTTAAGCTAAGACTACTTGTAATAGTTAGGTCATTAGCAAGTTGGGGTTCACAAGAGCACAAAAGCGCCCCTAAGGCTTGAAAGCGAGTTTAGGATCAATAATGCGGCTTAGCCGATGGCTATTAGAACTTGAAAAAGAAATGGTACTTAAGATTGGAGTGTTCTTCTATATGCTATGATATTAAAACTATCTAAAATAGAATGATGGATGGATGGTTGTAATAAAAGTAACATAACAATAAAAAAACTAGCAGAAAAAAAAGGGGGGAAGCCAGTTTGAAAAATCTCACTCCAAACTTATAGTAGTATGACTAAGTAAGATCAAACATAACAATGCTCTCTAGCTTTTTATATTTATATACAAATTGGGAATTTATCAGAATATACTAGAAGTAATGATAATAATAAAAGGAAAAAAAGGGCAAAAGGGCAAAAAGGCATGATCCCAGGCGGGCTCGAACCGCCGGCCTTCGCATTACTAGAGATAGAACTACATCGTAGTTGTATTAGTACGACGCTCTAACCGACTGAGCTATGGGATCGGGCTGTTGAAATTTCTTGATTATAAAATAGTTATATAAGCCTAGTACTAATGTTGTGAGCGATTTTTTGGGTTAGGTAGGTACCTACATGTAGGTAGGTGTCCGGAGGAAACCGCTAGTCTGAATCAAGCATAGTAGCCGGGCGATTTTTGTACACGTGCACAAGCATCATGCAATATCTTAGTGCGCTTGTACAATATTTAGCGTTCCTAATGCAATGCTTATTTATGTATGCAAAGGTACCTGCCAGCCCTGCGTACCAACTAAAAGCGGCCATGTAATAGCCTTTCATGAATCAATTTCATCTAGTCATGTTTCCATTCACTGGAACTTGATTGTCTTGTCCCTTTTAAAAGAAGCATCCCATATCTGCCTATTTCTTCCCTACTTTTAGGTAGGAATATACCGGGTATGAGACTTTGCCACCGTAACCCCTCTCTCATCCTTAAGTGAGTCATAAAAAAGGGAAATATTTACCTAGGTATGAAGTATGTATAGTTAGTTAATTGAATCGGAGATAATGAGAATATCAAATTACCTACATGTAGGTGCCTAGGCAGGTACTTAGGTACATTTACACTACACAACTACATGTACCATGCACACATGTATGTACATAGGTAATGCGGGCATAATACTGTAAATATTATGCAAACACCCCTTTACCGTGCAGCACAGACCGCCTCGAGATACGTACGTTTGTCTTGGAAACACAAATGGAATAATCCCTGTCGATTCAGAGCAACTCGAATTTGATTGACCCCCTTGTCAAAAGCCCAGAATCCCAGGATCCCAGAATCCCAAATCCATCCGTCGGACTGTCGGGCAATCAAATCAAAAATCAAAGTGAATTTACAACGTGTATGTACCTAACTTACCACCACTCACCACTTAACCTCCCTAGCTCCAGGCAGGTAGCCACCCATCCAACCCAACAGGGAACTACATATCACACCTCACCCTTATAGCAAGCACATAGTACATAGCACATAGCACATAGCACATAGCACCCTCACAGCAACCTAGCAGCAAGCATTAAACAGTCGAAGCTACAGCAAAGATACGCGTTAGGTAACCTACGACACCCCCCAAACCCCAAACTCGAGGGAATCAGTACTTCCTTGCACCTTCGCATTTTCGTATCTTTGCATCTTTGCATCTTTGCGTCTCTGCATCTCGCACCCTCTAAGAAACCTTACAATCTTACAACATTTTAACCTACAACCTTTCATTTTTGCCTGCCTTTCCTGCCTTTCCTGCGAAAATCCGCCTGTCGCAACATCCGAAAAAAGATACTCGCAGCAAATGATAGTCGGCTTTCTTCCGCCTTTTTATTTTTGTTCTATTCACGCGTTCCTTTGCTGAATTTAATACTTTCCCCCCCCCCGTCGGTCGCGCCACTTTACTTTACTTTACTTCATTCCCTTCGCCCTTATTCTATTATTTTTTGTTGTCTCGGTCGCATAAATCATAAATCGCACCTTGATGATCATCATACGCGCCTTCTAATAACCAACGCACCGCCCCACAGTATCTCTATTTGATACTGTTTTACTGCGCTCATTGTCCTTTTTTCGCATCTTGTTCTTTTTTTCCTCAAGGACGTTTTTATTGTCACCTGGTCGCAAAGTCTTTATTAAAGTCGGCCCTTACATACTACATACTATTAATTACGCGCCAACATTTTACGAACCATTTGCGTTGTTCTTGTTACTGGGCCTGTCGTCGCGCATTCCTCGTCTATTACGAACCTGACTCGGACCAAGTTTCGTTGGGTTTGACCGTGGCCACATCAGCGATAGCCCTACTCCTTTTTTGCGCATCGTCGACCCATCAGGAGCCCGTGTCTCTACTATTTGATACGTGCGGCTTCCTTGGTTCTTGTTCCTCTGCCTTGGGTACTAGTGATTGCCTGCTTTACTGCTTAGCTTGCTGCTTAGCCTAGGACTAGGACTAGGACCGTTCAGTACATAGCGTGCATCGTCAGGCTAAAAGAGGTGGTCGCATCCGCCGGCTGAGCCGACCCCCGATTTGCACACTTTCCACCTGCCGCGCTAGGGAGGAATTAGGTACCCACCCCCTGCAACCATTCGTTGTTACGTCAGCCTTGCCTTCCCATTTGGTGTCGCACCTCTGGCGATAGGTCCCCCCTTCCACCCCCTTTTTTACAACTTTATTGCTGCATACCTACATATCAGCCCGGGCCTGCTCTATCTGCGCCCCGACCACGTACAACAATCAACTGCGCAACAACGCTCTTTGAGCGCAAAAACACCAAACTTCACTCTTCCCTATCGGGTATGCTCATGTTCCGATTCTGGAGTTCAGATTCGAGGGGAAGCGACAAAACTTTACAAGTTGAACAGCCTATGTTTGATTTCAGCAAACCACTGCAGCCTTGGGTGTCAGAGTCGCCGCTTACTACTGCGGCCGCCACAAACATCCCTACAACCCCGAGGCGGCGCAAGCAGAGCAACGTCGCGATAGCGTCGCAACTCCCTGCTTCTTCACCCGCGCTCAAGCGGACGAGGACTGATGATGATGATTATGATTGCCTCAGGGCGCACAAGAAGGTGGCTTTGTCGTCGGTAGAGGAGGGGAGAGGGCATGCATCGCAGCCCGTATTGAATAGGCCCGACATGAATCGCGCTAGAGATGCTATCGAACAACAGTTTAGTCTCGAGATATTACTCAAGCACGACGAGTTACGCTTGATTAATCAAGAACTTGCCAAATGCCAGGTGGCTTTGGAGCAGCTGCGAAGGTGCCATCTAATTCCGTATCCACAGAACGTTCCCACGCCGGAACACATGGTGAATATAATGAATGGGTCAGGTGCAGCCTTGCAGCCGAAGTTGGGCGAGAAGCTGCCTCAGTGGGCACCTCCCTTCGGCGTCACTGAGGGTCCGTACGCGCGACACTATGCCAAGTGGCTCATACCCGATCCTAAGTTCGACGGCATCCAGCCTGAGGCCCATGTGCAAGCCGAGAATTCAAGATTCAGGAATTCGATAGACGGTAGATCGACGAGAAATAGCTATGCTGAGTTAGGTGCATCCCAGGGGAGAGGTCGGCCAGTAAGGGGTACGGCAGGTCAGAAGCTCCAAGCTCTGTCAAATGGTTATCCACCTCCCAAGGATAAGAACGGACCTTGCGTCCTGAAGCGATCTGATGGGAAGACCGTAAAACTTGTCTGCATTGATTGCCATCGCGAGAACTTTTCAAGTACGCAGGGGTTTATTAACCACTGTCGAATAGCGCACAAGAGGGACTTCAAGAGCCACGAGGAAGCTGCGGTACACTGCGGCCATCCCATCGAGGTTACTGAGCCTAGTGGTACTGTAGGAGAAGAGAAACCAGTCGTCCAGAGTACACCTTCGTCCGGTCTTGTCCATCCATTTGTGCGGGAGAATGCTATGTCCGAGTCTGAGGCCTGTTTCTCTGTTGTGTGTCGTATCCAGGAATCGTTAGAGATGTACAGCCGGGGCCAACTACATGGCGTTTCGTCGATTCCCGGCGCCTTCAAGAGTTCTCAGAGCGCACCAGCGGTAGCTACACAGCAACCAAATTTCTTACCTTCAGCTGATTCTCCACATCTCTCTCGCTTACTTCAAAGCAGAGGATTTAATGGCAATCTGAGCGAGTTGGTCAGTGAGGCTAAGGCCAAGATCGACCTCGACCAGTACTTTTCCCCCGATGATGAGTTGGACGAGGCTGACGCTGGCGGTAATGGCGCTGAAAATGGCGCTGCACATCAGGCCCCATCCCTTGTACGGGTCCCGGTGAGGGCCACGATGTCACCCGCCATTGCTACAGCTCGACCACCTAGTAGCAAAGGCCACCTTTCGCATATTCCCTATGCCACCCCCGTGCCAACCCCAGCTCCCAGAGTCATGTCAGCTCCCGAGCCAGAGATGATTGTAGATGACGACATGTTAGACGTGGATTTGAGCCCTCATACTGCCGTCAGCAATAACGCACCGTCTCTTGTCAGTGACGATGGGGAGTATGATGACTCGGAAGCGGACTCTGAGATGGAATCAGATCTAAATGATAGCATCGGGGCACAGTCCATATCGGATGTCGACGAAATTGACATCGAAGACGACCACAGCGGTGCACGTTCTATTCGGCACCACCGCGGCTCTACCGGCGCAGGGTCTGGGACGACGGTACGCCTACGTAAGGATGACAGTAAGCACGTCACCTTTGTTAGCCCTATCAAGGGGAATGGGAATGAGCACCAGAGACGGGGTCGAAGATAGTGTATGAAGTTCCTAATCGGGATTTGCTTCACGTAATCTTTGCGCGGACTAGTCAGTTGGCAGTCAAGAAGACATGCTGAACGACTTTCTTTTAACGTTGGACTATACCGAATTCGTTTATGATCACTTACTATACACCTTTTATTACGATTGCATTTCGAAATTTTTTCAATTTAAGATTTGTGCCGAGGAGCCAGTCTTCTGGGGGTTCACGCGGAACATGTCTATTAGGTTACGAAGTTGATTCGATCAGCGTTAACACGGAAGCACGGCGGCGTCGGGTTGATAGGTCAATTTGAAATTAGTAGAGGTTAGAGGGCACTCAGTGTGAGGAGGCACTGACGGTTTTGATACACCTATCCTCCACAGCGCGCAAGCTAGTTAGCAACAATTGTTTTTTATGAAGGGTTGCGAGACAGGCTGATAGACAGCGGTTCCTGTATCTATAATATCGAAACTGTATAAAGACACCATCGAATATTGAGAGCTTGCGCAATCAAACGTAGATGTGCTTTGTAAATGGTGATATCACCCTTTCTTCCTTGTGACGAGAATAGTATTCCAATACGGTGAAGTGTTTATCAAGATCACTATGATTGTACTGCCTACACTGCCTTCTATACACTGCCTTCTATAAATGGCCTATCGAATTGCAGATTTGAACAGACCAGCCTTTAACGCTTGAGCGATCTTCAGATTTATACGTATGCACCTCCAACTCAGATACTTGTAATA